CCCCCCAGGCTCGAAGGGCTCGAGCCCGGCTCGGCTCGAGTCTGGCTCGAGTCCGCTCGGCTCGTGCACAACACTAATCGCGGCAGTTGCTTAAATTACGGAGTATCTGGCTGGTCTCTGGTGAGCGGGGGTCAGCTTACAAATAGGGAAGCGTTTTCGAGGAAGAAGTTAACCTACATTATACTACTCGAGCCTCCTATATGAAGATTGGTAGAATACCCATACTACGGATCTTTGCTGGAAAAATGGCGTGAGGGCCCTAGTCCGTCCGTCCGCGCAGCCGGAGACAAAAACAAAAGTCATGAGCCTAGGAAAATCAGTGGAGGTAGTGAGTTGTGGTATTATATGTTATCTCTCTCCACCACCACCAGCTCTAGTAATACCAGCGTTCAACTACTAGTACCTTTATTCCAAGCCCGGGTATGTACAGCTATCATAGGCATCACCGGGACAACCAGCGTCCCTAATCCGATCATCCAAACCAAAAGAACCAAAATGCCATCGCCAACACCCCCTGTCGACTGGCGTGCCCCTGTCTGCCAGGAAGTCCAAAACCAGTTCTCTTGCCGCAACCATCTTTTCTGCCAGGACTCTAAAGAAGAAAGGACAGAAAAAAAGCCCCATGAAATTACCGTATTAACTTGAATAAGAGCAACACATCTCAGGACGTCTGACTTGCCTATTTTGGTAGGGACGGGAGAAAATACCAGCAAAATAAAACCACGCGTTACCAAGAGGGGAAGCCTAGACGTCCCGAGCGGTGTTGCTCTTATTCAAGTTCATACGGTATTGGCGGGAATCAGCCCATCAGACTGTGATGTTTTCAGTTTGGCAGTTCTGATACTTGTACGAGAATTGTGGGCGCCATGTGTGCTAACTACTTGGAGATCCAACGAAACTGGTCTGCCATTCTGGGACCGCCTCGGGGAGAGGATAATGCTGCCGGGGGCCGGCGGGGACGATGGATTTCAATGGGTTTAAATTGTAAGAGTACAGTGTCTGGACATGGGATCTGTAGTGATTAATGATTAAAACACAGTATCAAATCAACCAGCTACAGTAAAATTCTTTTATACGGGGAGAAGAACTAATACCTATAAGAGAAGGAGGCTCTACTTAATCCTTCAATCGGCTGGTGAGTGCCACAACCAAGATGCTCTAGCTTAAATGGCTCCTCGACTTCTACTTATCCATCCACTCCTCCTATCCCCCCATCCATGCATCTCCTCCACCTTTCACCTATTTGCCTCCTTTATACCCCCCTCTACCTACCCACTTCTTACCTATCTCCTGAGGGTTTGTGACCTTCATGATGGTTGAGAATTGAACTATAGACTACTAGTAGACCAGTCTAAGTCCGATAAAGAAAAATCTTTTATGGGTCATGAGTTGAAGTTAAGACTATACTAATTGTACTCTGAGGTTGGTTGACTTTATAGATTGATATGATAACTTAATCTGATGTATTGCATCTTAAGAATGATTTTGTTGAAGTAATAAAAGTTGCCAACTCAGACAGAATCAGGGAGTTATTAGAACTAATAATATAGTAGTAGTATGTAGAGATATAGAGTGATATAGAGAAGATAAAGGACATTTGATAACTGTTAAATAGCAGGTTAGAGTACTACTTACTATGGTGCTCACCAGAGAAGGTAGTATAAGTTGCCAAGAATTTGTTTTTTGTATTAATTACTTATAATACCTCTAAGTTAAAAAAACATTATAATATTATCTTCTTATCTACTATATTTATATCTTTCTACTTAAGGTAGTAAAGGAAGTTGAGGCAAAGATGAAAAGAAAAAAAAAAAAAAGAAGACAGATGTGATATACAAGATAGATAAGATAGTATTATAATAAGTAACAGGTAGGTGTAATGAGCTTTACCAGGATTATTCAAATGTGTATAGTACAGTATAGTCTTAATAACTCTGTATGAAAATATAATACAGTAGAAAGAATATACTGTAGGCATACTAAGTGAAGAGGAATTTTGTATGAAGGCAGAATAGTAGAAGTTCTTGTCCTTAATTCTTCTAAGTGAGTTGGGTGATAACTTCTATACTCATACCAAGGTTGTGGCTATACAACAACCTATGACTACTTTCTAGCTCACAATTGTGGGCACTCTTAAGACAGTGCCTAATAGCTCAATAGTCTTTGACAGCTCAATAGTCCTTGGGCATTACTATAGAAACTCTGCTTTCTGTTAGGAATCCTACCTGTCATGGAATGCCACAACCAGCAATTCTTTCAGGTGAGTATGGGGATAGTACTTGGACCTTTTGCCTACTGGATATCAACTATTACTACTTATTTATTTGCTAGCTAGTGATGGAATTACAATTATACTTAATAAATAAAATATAACTACTTACCTAACTTGAGAAAGATTATTCCTTTCTAGAACCATAGATGTAGGTTAACTGAGTATATTATTAGGAAGATATTAATCAATTGATTGAAAATGTATTGTAAGTATTTATATAGATACTTCTAAAAAAAGAATTTATATTAATCTACAGAGAAGAAGGTTTATATAGGATAAATTCAGTAGTTGTCATATGACAATAAATAGGTTATAATTGATCCAAACAGGTTGTCTAGGCATGTCAATTTTCAAATTAATAATATGTATTTCCAAGAGATAAACTATAAAGAAACTAAAGACATATTTTTTTCTTATACTATGAGTAAAGGGCTTTTTCTTATAACTTCTTTCTCTTTCATAACTAGCTACCAACTTTTTTAATAATAACCAAAGTAGCTGATCCTATATCAAGGCAATGTCTTACTTACTATATATAGCATGTAGTTAGATTTAAACCACAGCCTTATTTCAACAAAGAAAATATACTTCAATATCTGTTCCTTCTCTCATTATTCTGATATACTAATATTTTAACTTACTGGTATAAAAGCCCCTGCCATTTTATAAAAATATTACTAAAAATAATTACTACTAGTAGCAAGGGAGCTTTTATGACAGCTTGTAGTCTGTAAGCTTACAAGAATTATATACTAAATGACTGCCAGAGTATTATGAAACTATTAGTAAACTACATAATCCACTACGGTATGATTTAGAAAGCTTTTATGATTCTCTATGGTATTTATCTTGGTACTAATATATGTGCTAGGGTGTAATGGACAGGGTCTGAGGGTCGGGTAGCCCAAGGCACACCACGATCAGGACAGGCAGGATTCTGGAGATGAGGTCTAGGTGCGGGGGTACAACCGAAGTGAGTTGTATGAGGTTCGGGATTCAGGAGTTCAGGGTCAGGGTTCAGGGGTTCAAGAGGACACTAGATAATAGAGAGTGTAATTCCTAGATACAGGTGTCCGAATTTAATCTAAGTTTATTTATACTCGTCGCGCCAAAACATGGCTTATGATCGAGCGCTCCCCCAATGGGAGCTTAACGCCGGCTGGGATCCACCGATGGGACTGGGGCCCTGCTACCCCCGCAAAATACAGGCAACTAAATACAAGATACCGATCCTCCGGCCCCATACCGTTAACCACTCCGGTGAGCGAGCACCAACACCAAAGCTAAAGTACAAGTCCATCAACAGTCCAGCACCCATCCGCCCCACCTATCCAGGCCACGGAAATCCCAGCACAATCAATAAATCACTACCACCGGCAGTCCGGTCTCGCACCTCTTATCCTCATAAAAATCATAACAAAATAAATCCACCATCATCAACCCCACCCGGCACCCAAGAAAGCATTCCAGCACTGTCCCTCAGAAGGGCCATGACAGAGGGGCGGTACAAAGCCAGTCTCCCCTAAGCAATCAGTCGAGGCAGGCACAAAACCACACTCCTTGCACCGTAATAGCCAACCCAAGAAACCCCTAGGGCATCATTGTTATAGGTATCCCAACCTATGTAGAGCCAACCATGTCCACCTCTTCTTCATGTTCCTCCGCATCCTCAAACTCTTGGGTAGCTGGACGGGGGGGAGAAGGGCAGACAGGCGAGTGGGATTCATGTGGGCCATCACAGT